TTTTGTAGCGGTGAAACCTGATGGCGCTTAAATGACCAAAATTTTGACGATAGTGCCGTAAAACATCTACCCAATCAAAAAATCAATCTCATGTCCCACCCCTCTCATGGAGTGTGAAGTGCCCCCTCTCTCCTCTTCCAAGCGCCCTTCGTCTGCTCCTCCTCCTCCAGCAGACAACTCCTTCCCTTCCTATAGAGGTCCATCTCATTGGCCTTTCCCCGGGAAAATTGGTTTTGGAGTCCGTCACTCCTTCCATAAATCTCCCAGCAGGCTGCTGTCCATCGAGGGCAGCAGCCTCACAATTCCTCTGCCTCCCCCGCAAAGAGGAGTCGGAGCTCATCAAAGCCGAGGTCTTAATGCTCCAAAGCTAAATAGTATAATCTAAGAAATTTAATCCACTCATCCCGGTTTAATCGAGATATCCCGATTTTTTGCCCCAAATCTCAAGCGTCCCGATTTTCCCGATTTCGGTCTCCTGTATCCCAGTCTGCTGCGCCGGAGTTTTCCAAAAAACTTATTCTGCCTTCTTCTCTGTCGCGGGAAGCACCCATTGAACTTTTTGTCTGTAGGAACTCGGAGCATTATTTTCCTAATTATCCTCACCACACAATCAATCATGCAGACACAAAACTATACAAAACCGCATTTTAAAAAAAAACCCATCAAACAATACCCCGAAGCAGGGAAAATCTTCACTGATGGCTCAAAACCAGACTCAGCTGTAGTCGCCGCTGCCACTATCCACAAAGGCCTCCTTTTTATTCTGCGGAGGCCACTAGTAGGCCACTGCCATTGACATGGCATTCCGAACATGGAAAAAATATGGTGTTAGCTATGTAGAAATCCGTGGAAACGAGCAGGTCGACTTTCTGGCGCAAGAATCCTTGTCCTTTCTGTTGTGATCAACAGAGAACACCCTCCTGCAGACAAGACTAAAATTAAAGCAAACCCTTCCAACCTAATGGGGAAACACTGGAGCAAACTAAAGTAAATAATAAACTCATCAGTATACTGCACAATCAGCCAGTACCCATTAGAATTATTTTTAGGGACCACAATGTCCAGTTGATTGCTGATTTATATGATGTTTCAGACATTTGAAGTGTTTTGCGTGAACGTTACGTAATTTTTAAACGATATTCGTGCCAGCCATATCTGAAAAGGGAAGAGTATTAGCTCTCCTCGTCGAAGAGTTCTTTTTGGCTTGGTTTATATGAGTCGTGTCCCCTTGACCGAGATACGCGAACCAGTTTCCCCACTGCTGATTCTCTTTCTCGACTCCATCGTCTCATGTTTACTATTTTCCCTCCTTTCTCTGTCCGCCTGCG